AGTCGTTGACAGTAAAATAAACACAGAAAATAAATGTGAAATGTTTAGCAGTTCAAACCCTTAAGAGAAGTACTTTGAAACTTCATGACCAATAATAAAGAAAAAAAAAAGTGCAGAGCTGCTCATTTTATTTCTCATTTCACAACTTTTCATTTCATTATACTTTATGATTTGTCTACAGGCTGAAGAATCAAGCATATGATTAAGGTAAAGGTAATAACAGACTAAATATAAAGTTTTACTGAAAAAGTTTTATATGTACTTCAGAGGTTTCAGAGATTACAAATGAAGTTTGAGATTTTTGAGACAAAGAAAAATATTTTTCATCTTAACATGAAAATACCTTTGCACTCAGACAAGTAAAAAAAAAAAGATTCAATATATTCACAGACAAACCTTCAGTAAAAATCCTTCATTAAAAAATCCAATTTTTTGTGTACAAAAGACTGCCTAAATTTGTGAACATACACATTCTATATTAAAAGTTATAGTATGGAAACTATAACAAGTACAAAGTGGTTACAAGGTTGGTCAATTCGACTTAGCCCTTGTGTAGAGTTAAAACCTTCAGATGTTATTATGTATAGTTGAAAATTTACCATAATAACAGATCACGCACCCTTAAGATGGCTAATGACATTAAAGGACCCATCATCTAGATTAGCTAGATGGTCATTGTTACTGCAAGAATATGATTTCGAAATTATACATAGACTGGGTATAAAATAATCGAACGTAATGCCTTAAGCAGAATAAAATTTGAAAACATAGAAAACAATGAAAAACAAGCAATTGATAAAATTTCAGAATTACAATCAGAAATAATAAATATGAGATATTCTGGAATTTAGACCATGTTATTAGTGAACAGAAGAAAGATGAAATGGTAAATGCCATCAGAAATAAAGTATTACAAAGAAAAGATACAGAATACACATTAGATAATGCAGTGCTATGCAGAAAAGTATACTCCTTTACAAAGGATGCATAGTTTAACCACACCTCTCCAGCTAGTGGCTATAGATATTTTAGGTCCATTTTCTACATCTTATACAGGAAATAAATATATTTAGTCTCTGCTCACTATTTAACTAGATTTCCAGAAGTGATCTGTTTACCAAATCAAAAAGCAGAAACAATTGCTAAAGCATTTGTGAATCTAATTGTGGCTAGGCATGGCATACCACAATATCTAGTAACAGATCGAGGTAGTAACTTCATTTCTAGACTAATGAAAGAAATTTGTAATATACCAGGTGTATAGAAAATCAAAACTACTGCTTATCATCCAGCTGCTAACGGTCTAGTAGAGAGATTTAACAGAACACTATTACATATGATCTCTTACTATTGTGAACAAGATCAGAAAACTTGGAATGTGCAAATTCTTTTGTTACTATTAGCTTATATAAGTGCTGAGAACGATTCTACACAAGAAAGTCCTTTCCTTCTGTTACATGGTAGAAATATAATACTACCTATGCAAAAAATATTAGATGAAGACTATAAAGCTGAAATGATGCAGAGAATGAAAACCACAGTTGAAATAGCTAATGAACACATGACTAAGGCTGCTGAGCATTGAGAAAAGCAGGTAAATAAGAAAGCACAAACCAGTGAAATAAAATTAGGAGACAAATTATTACTATACAGGTTAAGAAAGGAAATACAAAAGAATTAGCAAAACTATGGAGAGGATCATTTAGGGTAATTAAACAAACAAGCCCAGTTAACTTCGAGATACAAGAAATATACAGTAAACATATATATATATATATATTATATAATAAATATATTTTATTTACAACTAGTAAATGTTAACAGATCAAAGCTAGTAATGACTTCTCAATCATATAAATCTGAGCAATTAATCTCTCAACATGGGCTCAGTCAAATTGACTGACAATGTAACCTCTTTGTACTCGTTTAAAGTCTGTATAGTTTTGATACTACTAACTTGAAATATAGTATTTATATCATCACAAAATTTGGCAGACTTTTGGCAAACATTACAGGTCTTTCACATACAAAAAATCATACTTTTAATAAACTAAAAAAAGGATTGTTCATGAATACATTGTCTTTTTTTCTATTAGTCCGCATGCAAAATGGTTTTTCATGTCAAGATTAAAAATACTTTTGTACATCTCAAAAATATCAAATTTCATTTATGTAATCTCTAAAACTTCCTAAATACATTTAAAATGCTTGTTTTCAGTATATTTTATCTGTTATTTTCTCTATATTCTGTACAAGTTTGGTCAATTTGACCAACCTCGTAATCACCCTCAAAAAAATCTAAATAAATCTAAATTACCCTTTTTTTCTTTCTAGAATGACATCAAATTGTAATATGAAACTACATTTGTTTATCCTAAGTAGCTTCCCACTCATAACAGTATACATCTATTTAAACTTCAGTTTTATTGTTTTATTGCCCCTTGAACTATGTCTAACTACTACTGTTCATACCATTATAAGTTATAAATCACTTGGAGAACGTAAAGCTCACTTTACACGGCTACTCGCATGCATGCTTTGTGAAACATTTTTATTATTTATTTTACCTTATCTAACCTAAAACGTTTTTAGTTTTACATTTTAGGTACTTGTAAAATAATAAATAATGAATACACATGAAGAAGAAGAATTAAAGTACTTATCTGGGTCTTCTTCTTTTTTTTTTTGTCTGTCGACCGTTGATGACACTTAACCCTACTTTTTTTTTTATAGTAATAGTGGTGGTGCACTAAATAATTTGTATCTAATTAAATTATGTACCAAATAACATAGAATAATAACATGCAAAAAGCAGACAATTTACCCTAATTATCACAATTTCTGGCTTTCTAACTATGCAACTAGAGCCTTTACAAATTCATCCAAACTAATCGTTATCTTTCCTGTTGGAATGAAGCTTGTACTAAATTAAAGCAAGAGAGCTGAGGAAAAAACTCAGTGAAGAAGAGATACAGTTTCTTCTAAATGTGTCCTTGTCTGATGAAGAAAGCATTCTGCCGGAGGAGTCTGATGTTGATGAAGTTTCTGCTAATGTGTCAATGCCTCTGACAGAATATCTCTATAGAAAAATATGGCAACAAAATCTAGAGCCAGCTCTTCTTGATTCTGTCTTATAGACATATCAGGAAGTAGTTGGTGAGAGATCTTCATCAGATGTGGATGTTGTGGAATCACCCAGGCCAGTTACATCAAAGTATCCTACACCACCACCACAGAGAAGAGGCAGGACAAAGAGTGGTAGGGGAAGGGGTAGAGCTACAGTATCTACTAGGACTGCTCCTTCCCAGCAGAAGAGGCCTCTCAACTGCAGTGACACTTTGTTTTTCATTCATATTCATGAAAATATGAAGTATTCATATTTGTATTCAATTACTGATATCCAGTATTTGTCCCATCTGTGGTCCACATTACTCAATTCATCACTATTATTTGAGTCACTTTCATTTTCATCATCTATAACATGTACTTCGAATTCCTCTACATCTTTTGCATCTGACTTATCACAAAATTGATCGGGTTCAGAGTCCTCATCAGTGAATATTTCCTGCAAAATGTTTTCAGCAGAATGGTGCAAAGTTCATTTCATGGGAGTCCTAAAAGCAATCTGAAAATTCAAGTCATATTTTCGGTTCTGTAATATCCATACAAAGTACGAAACTATCATGATGAATGAAATAAAATGGAAGCTGACTAATGTATTTTCCAAAACATGCATTACAGATATCCCATTTCTATTGACTGGCGCAGCATGTACAGTAATTTAGTGTGGGTAAAAAGATTCCCATAGATAGCATTGGAAGTGTTTCCCGTGGGAATAAAGCTTGAACTGAAAGTGGAAGAGACAATTCTTTATACAGAAAACAATGTAATATGATATTTCATTTCATATATTTAAACCTTGGCTTTATATTGTTATAAATAATATAGTATTGAAAGTCAGAGAGCACTGTTGGCAATTTCTGAAAGAGGATGTGACAGATGGGCATGGTAAGATTTTCTATTTGATGGCTCTGTAACCAAATAAGATTAAAGGCTATGAAAATTATGCTTTGCCTGAGCAATGAGGACATTATAGTGAGTACTTTATGTTAAATTTTGTACTTTTTTTGGATGGGTAGTAAATAAATTAGAGAAGAGGGGATGCCTAGAGAGAAATGTCACAATTCTCGTACTAGGGGAAATTCAGGAGTTTTTTTTTATAAAACTAAGAACTTAAAATATATACACTATTAAAATTTGGATTATCAACTACATTTTTTGCCAAATTAATTCATATACCATGATAAGAAAGTAGTTTAAGTTTTGAATGTAACTCACTAAAACCTTGTGATATACACAGAAAAAAGGTGCCCAAGGGAAGAGGGTTAATGTTATGTTAAAATTTTCATTTTGTCACAGTATGGATGCTTTCTCATTCTGTAAGTTAGTGTGTTTTGGTCATGTTCTCAGTGTATCATGAAATGGATGTTTTCCCCTCAAATGGAAGTTAATACATTTTCATAAAGTTTTCACTTGATCATGGTGTAGATGCATTCTCCTATTATAAAATAAAGTATTTTCATAAAGTTTTCAGTTTGTCATGGTATCAGTTCCTTTATCCTAACAGAAGTTAATGCCTTTATATTAAAACTTGCAAACCTCAAACTCTCATTTAGAATGAAAATGTTTGTGTATATAGAAGCAAAACTACTACAACATATTATTTTCTAAAAAAGAATTGTTAATAGTGCTTTTCAAGTATCTGTGCATTTAATATGATGCTCCCTGTACCATCAGTCATAATTAATGTGCTTAAGTGAAATGTGATTTTGGCTTGTACACTAATAAAAGACCAAAATATTAAACTGTAGCTTACTACAGAAGGAAAAACTGTCATTGAAGAAAAAAATATGCTAGTGCACTGAATCACAAATAAATACTAGTAAGTTTTCTTTAAATATTATAATTTTAATTATGCATGATGTGAATTTGTTACTCACTTGTTGCATTTCCATTTTAACTTTTGACACTTGTTCTTCTAAGGCTTTCAAGTCTTGGTTACCTTCATCCACCTAGAAAAATACAGCAAGTATTCTATTAAGCTTTAATGACAGATAGAAGCTAACGTGCAAAAACGCTTGTGACAGACAGTGAGGCATAGTCATATTATTTATGTAAAAATGTACAGAACATAACCCTTACAAGAAAAGTTCTTTTCTATAAATGAAATGCATGCATTCTCTAAAAAGATATCTTACAAATTTACCCACCAATACAAACAATGTCTTAGCTTGCAAAATATTTAAAATTTTACTCTGCTTAATTACAACTAATACAAGTTTATAATGTCTCATGACAAAGTTTCATAGCAAACACCCAATAAAATTAATTAGATATTTCTGTTAACTTTGGTGTCATCTATTGTTTAATACCAGTATTCAATCAAATTTGCAAAATGATAGCATAAATATGACCCTCAAATTGCTCCAGTTTGACATAAAAACAATGTTAACCCTTCAAAACACTGACCTTGCTATAAAGCTAGTATTAAATACATGAAGACTATGTTAACCTGCCTCTAAACAGGATTTGTTATTTTGGCCAACTCTGCATCCACCATGTAACCATAAAACAATACATACTATAACTTTTAATGTAAGAAATGTATCTTCAGAAATGTTTTTATCTCTTTGCAAACATTAGAAGTCTCTTGCATAGAAAAAATCAGATTTTTTAAATTTAGTGTTTGTAGTAAAGATTTGTCTCAATCTCTGACTAGTCTTAGTGCAAAGTGATTTTCATGTTAAGATTAAAAATACACTATTAACTTTCAAATTTCAGTTGCATAACCTCTAGAACAGCATCTCCCAAAGTGTGGTCCACGACCTGGTACTGGTCTATGAAAAAAAAATGCCGATCCGCAGAAAAATAAAACAATTAAATTAAATTCATTTTAACCGTTTCACTATCAACTGCCATTTTTAAACTTCCTCTAAGCACTTGTTGTATATTAAAGGAAAATGTAATTCAACTAGATAATATAAATATATTCTAATAAAATTAATATTTTCAAATAGATTATAATTTAAATTTTCACTTGACGGCTGACTTTATACCTTCAGTCCCCCGGGAATTAAAGTGTTCTCGCTTAGTGCAATTTAGAGTGCCTAAAAGTAAGTTTTATGGTGTTGATAACTTTGAGATTCTTGTGAAATGCCATAAATTTAAACTACATGTTAGCTAGACACCTCTGCCTGCTGCAGGTAAGGTCAAAGAAGGGATTTTATCTCGCATAAAAAGGACCATTTGTTCATTCAAGTTAACTGTCTCTTTGAAACTTGGATTTCTCAGTAATTTAACTAAGCTAATATAACAGGAAGGAAAAATGAAAGTTTGTATTTAAGGCTACGAAACTACAGAATTCGCAAGTTAGGTGCTGCAGACAAGTTGCTGGTGGCCAGTGCTAGAAGTGTCAGTTTGTTCTGAGAAGAGAGAGAATTGTTTGTGACTTAGTTTGTACTAAATAAAAAATTTTAAGTTGTTCATTCTTAAGAAAACCCCTCTCCAATATGGATAGATGGCTGAAGAAACATGCATCAATAAGAAAACCTCATGTGATGCACAAATGCAGCCTAGTTCTAGTGAAACTGAAGTTAGTGAAAATAATAGGCCTAATCATAAACATTTAAGTGATGTGCAGCTTGGTACCAAAGAAAAGAAAACAAAGACCTCTTGGACTCAACAGTATCGTGATTAATATTTGAAGTATGGTTTTATTATAAGTGGTGGTAGACATAATGACTTGCCACCAAGTGTTTTTTGTTGTTCAACACTATAAAATGAGAGCATGAAACCATCAAAATTGAAATGCTACTTGGATACCAGACATCCAGAATACTTGAGTGAGCCAATAGATTTTTCATAAGTAAGAAAAATGAAATAGTTTTTTCCAAACAAATAATTTCACACACTTTTTCCACGAGATCTTCCAATGAAGACTTGGTTATGGCCTCATGATGATGACAAAACCTTGTTGAAACAATGTACATTTGCCGCTGTGTTAAACTTATATTAAAGTTTTTCTTCATTACCCATTCAAGCCGACTCCAACCATTATTAATCTCAATTATTTGTTTTTTATTTTACAATATGAAACATTACTATGAAATTAACCCTTTCACTGCAGCAGCAGTATTTATTCCCTGTTTGGAACATTTTTTTAGATTAATTTTATTATAATGTTGTAATTTTTCTACACATTTCCAAGTGACTAATACAGGTCGTTTATTATTTCATGGAAGAATCTATTGTTTTGTGACATCATATTTATTCATCTTTTTGTAGCACTCAAAAATAACTTCTGTGACATTTTTACGTCTGCTGCTATCAGTTACATAATTTATTCATCTTGATATATATGTACTTGCAGTGCACACTTTACAGGCATCCAGTGTTCAAAACTTATTTGGGATAAATCTTGGGGCTTTTCTGATACTCGCTTTGGTTTTTTATAGGTTGATAAGGCGGGCAACGAATTATGGAAAGTGAAAGCATAATTGATCCTGTTGTTTTTCAAGTTTATAATATTTAAACAGCATTATACAGTTGTAAAAGTAAAGCTATGAATGTTGGAGAAGCCCAGGTAATTATCTCCAAACTTCTGTGGAAGCACGTTGTCCTGCTAAAAATATGTGATGGTCACATGAATTTTGTCTCGTGACATATGCAACATATAACCATTAGAAACTTGGGAATGCAATATACATACATCTGTGTGTAGATATATGGAAAGAAGGTTAGTAGATTCTACAGAACAACCTACAGGTACAAACAGATATTACTGCAATGAAGCCTTTTCAAAATAGTGAAAATTTCCCAATGGATATTATATGAACCTTGTAAATTATAACAAGTGCCCAGGGTACTAATTTTAGTCTTGAACTAGGATGTAATTTAGTTAGCATAATGTAAGGCCTAACTTCAAATATCCTTATTTAATTTAGTGAGATTTGCAACAAAATTATATTTAAAACTATTATTTTGTTAAAATAAAAAGTAAATATTTGAGTTTAAAAAAAACTGATATTAGAAAGAGCAATCTACTTCACTATAGAATACATGATGGAAAAATGTAGGTAAAGAAAAACTTTATATACATAAATGTACCTTTTCTTTTCTTGTTTCTTTCAATTGTGATTGAGTTTCCAATAGGTTTTCCTGTAGTTTAGACTTTTCCTCTAGTATACCAAAGGCCTAAAAGTAGTAGTAGCACATTGTATGAAGCAAAACTGATTAATGGCAAAATGACAACTATCTAAAATGTTCATTAAATACAGCAACATAAATTTATACAAATTATGCTGCATATCAGGAAAGACATAAAACTTTTTAAATTTTATTTTGTCTGAATATACAAAGTAGTTAAGTTGTCACTTATTAAATTAGTAAAAGCCAACCTAAAGGTAAAAAAAAAAGCAAAAACATGAACTTGATGACTAGATTTTAGAACTAATAAGCTGTGATATCACAAACTTGTTAAACATATTACTACAATGACTTCAAACATTTTAAGTTCTGGCTTATTCTTGTATTCATAAATACTTTCACACAGCATTAAAAGGCTATAAAAAGTACTAACCAATATTTGTGAAATATTTATTTAAATGCAAGTTACTCAAATTCCTCATATAAATCACACTTAGCTTCAACTTGTGGCTCACTCAGTCATGTAACTAACCTAGCTAGACCAAAAAGATCTAAGTGAAACTGCAGTTTTCACACTTAGTATAGACTCATTATTTGAGTTAATAATTTCATTTTGAATCCTATTTATTACCTTAGATTCAAGACTTTTGATACGCAAATGCAATTTCTCATTTTCTCCTCTCAAACGGTCAATTTCCTATGAAAAGAAGACTAGTATAAGTATTCAGTAGCTCTTAGTTAAAAAAAACTTACTATTTGAATCATATTCAACAATTAAACTTCCTTCTGTCAGATGAAAAGACAAGTTAATATTCTATTACAGTTTAACATGTAGATTCTAGCATGTCAGTTGACACAATGATGAACTGGTACATGGTTACCTGAAAATCAAGTTATTGCTTTCTCTGATGGGTAGTGATCCTAATAGCTGAAAAAATAGTATATATTTTAAATAATTTTTTACAGAAACTGAATCTCAAGAGCAATACAATATTTAATCCAACCATCTTCTTAATAGGAGTTTTATTTTGACATTAGCCCATTCTTGGGGATGTAATATGATTATTTTCTAGGTCATTTTAAAATGTTAAAAAATGAAAATGATATATTCAAGAGACAATGACAATGAAATAGTTTAAATTAGAACCTAATAATCAAAAGTTTTAAATTTTAAAATACAGAGGATATCTTTCTCTTCAGAATTAACTTTTCACTATAAGAAGATACATGGTTCATAATTTATATGCTGGTAGCCATAATAGTTACTTCTGCAACCTCATCTCTTCTATGGGGTAAACATACATCACAGTTATCAAATACAGCAATGTAAGCAAGACTTATCGGCATTCACTGATGGATCAAAGCTCCAACAGAACCAAATGAAAGCAGTAAACACTTCCACTACAGCTACAGAAAACTAACAAATTTCAGGTTGGGTTTGGCCACTGACTTGTGGATAGTGTAGCAGAAAGCTTGCAGCAAAAGGTTTAGTGGTCAATGTAGCTTTCTCAGGGCTGGATGGAGCTTGGTACACACCTGAGAGTACAAGAACATGAACAGAATTCCTGGTTGATACAAAAGTGGCCACACCTCCAAGTGCAACCTTGACTCTAGCCTATTAAATACTGACTTTGTTCTCATGAATAACAATAGACCAGATGTAAATGGAAAGCAGATCTCTAACTGTATTTAGAAATGTCCTTCACAGTATGAAGGTTGTAATCTCAGAATTCTGTTCAGGTATTGCCATCCCTAGGATGGACATATTGCAGAAATTACTGGTCACATTTGCCTGTAAAAGTAGGGAACTGTTGTTCTGCTGGACAGTTATATAATGTCACCCAGATAAGAGACCAAGAACAGTGGATTCCACAAGTGTTCATAGCAGATGGAAGTTACCATTTTCCTAAACTAAAAATGTATTTCTGATAGATACTTACCTCCCCTCACAGAATAGCTTTTCTCGATTAATACTGCCCACTATCAGTGCAAATTTTCAACATTACATTAATCCTTAGTCTTCCACCTCCCACTTCTGCATATCCACATGCAATAATTATACAGCACCTCTCTACCAATAGGAGCGCAACACAACACCAGCACTCTCTCCACATTTGCACTCATTAACTCTTTCAATATGGGCTCACTTAATTTGACTGATCACGTGACCTCTTTGTACTCATTTAGTCTTTATAGATTTAATACTTCTAACTTTGAATATAGTATGTATATCTTCACAAAATGTGGCAGCCTTTCAGTTAATATTACAAGTCTTTCACATACAAAAAATCATATTTTTAGTGAAGTATTCTTAATAAAATAAAATAACTTTGTTCATGAATACATTGAGTATTTGTTTTGAATAATCCGTGTGCAAAATAATTTTCATCTTAAAATTAAAAATACTTTTCCTCATCTCAAAAATATCAAATTTCCTTTATGTAATCCCTAAAACCTCCTAAATGCATTTCAAACATTCTTTTTTCAGTAAAACTTTATAGTTTATCTGTTATTTTCTCTATCTTATCTCAAAATGGAATCGGTCATTTCTACCGATCTCATAACCACAAAAAAAAATTGAAATACGTCTAAATTCCCCTTTTTTTCTTTCTAGAATGACTTCAAGTTGAAACATGAAACTACATTTGTTTATCCTAAGTAGCTTTAAGTTTGTAACAGCATAAATCTAATTATAATTAAATTTTATTGTTTTATTGGCCTTTGAACTGTGTTTAACAACCATCCGTGCCATTATAAGTTGTAAATCACTCGGGGAAATGTGCAACTTACGTTAAGCTAACGAATTACTTTACCCACAAGCTACTACGAGCTGCTCACGTGTGTGCCTCATGAAACATTTTTATTATATACATATTATTATTATTTATTTTACCTAATTTAGTCTTAAATAACTTTAAAAGATCTATATTTTTAGATTTTAGTTACTTATATAATAAAAAATAAAGAATAAATAACAAAAACAAGAAATAAAGTACTTACTCAATCTTCTTTTTTCTTGCTGTCAGGTTTTGAAGACAGTTAAACCAAATTTTTAATGATAGTATTGCACTTAATTTTTGTTTAATTAAATAATGCACCAAAGAATATGGCCTAATAACATGGAAAAAGTAGACAAATTCCATTTCCTATAAAAATTTTCCTGGCTTTCTAACTATGCAACAAGAGTCATTACAAGTTCATCCAAGCTAGTCATTAACTTTCTCATGGGAACGATGTTGGTACTCTGACTGAAATTGACATTTAACCATTCAGAACATAATGTCATACAATACATAATTTGATAGATGGAAAACGTGACTTTCTATTGGTTGTAGGTAATACATAATTACACATAAGAGAGAAGTATTAACGAATTCTGAAAGAAAGGATGTGACAGATAGGCTTGGTAGGAAGGGTTTGATTTTCTATTGGATAGCTCTGTAACCATACAAAATTATGGTTTGTTTGAGCAATGACGATTTTACAGAGTTTTTTACATTTAATTTCTTATTTTTTCAAGGGGTTATGGATAAAACAGGGAAGATGACATGCTAAGAGAAAATGTGTCACACTAGGGGAAATTCAGGATTTATTAAATATTGACTTGTAGAATTAAGAACTTAAAACTTATATACTATTAAAATATGGATTATTAGCTAAGATCTTATGCTATTCTGATTGGTACAACATAAACAAAAAGTAGTTTAATAAGATTTTGAACGTAAGACACTAAAACCTTGTGTCATGTGCAGTAAATGATACCCATGGCAATAGAGTTAATCACTTCAAGATCCATCAGAATACCTACACCACAGGTACCTGATGATGACAAAACCTTGTCGAAACGTTGTACATTTGCTGTTATATTAAAGTTTTTCTTCATTACCCATTCAAGCAGTCTCCAGCCATTATTTGACTGGGAATGTATTATTTTAAGATACAGTGTACCTCATGTTTTCATTAATACTGGTGAATGTTCCAATTTTGATATTTAAATATTGGGCAAGATATGAGTAAAAGAGAAACTTATACTAATAGAAAACAGAGTTTTAACTGGTGCTCATTTACTGATAGTGCAAGAAATTTTAACAGGAACAAATTAAAATATCTAAGAGTAGGTAAAACTATCAGTAGTAAATAAAATTCACACACAGTAGCTTAGATATTATTACAAATATAGCCTTGGGCATATCCAGTGTTTATATGGTTGTGACAGAATACTTTAGATCAGACAGATTAAAATATTTTACAAGCAAACAGCTTTCTAAATATTTTCTTAACACTGTTTCAGTATGAAGTGCTGATATAATGCATGAAAATGCAGGCTGTGAAAGTGGAAAGTAACAACCATGTGGTGAAACTTAGTAAGCTGAACCAAAACTATTACTAAACCTGTAACTGGAAGAAAGTCCCTAAGGAGAGACAGTGTAGATGTTAGTGGAATCTAATGATGAAATCTAACCCGAGTCAGATCATGTGTGTGTAGGAACCAGTTTTGCAGTCTCTACCCCATTCCTTCCTTCTGGACCTGGGCTCTATCCATGTTATAACCAGATGGTAAGGAGAAGAATGAAGCCAGATTAGAGAGTAATCTGTGTTAACTGTTGTCTGACAGAGGACAGCTCAGCTAAAGGTGTTGGTCAAGCAGAGATCCAGTGAAGTCTGGGTATCAAGAAGTTCACCATCATAGAACGTATGCATGAAGAAGCATTGCATCAGACAAGGGAGAACTCATCATGTCTGCCATTTTCCATTAAGTAAAAAAGCATCCGATTTAAATATTTATGTTTATTATCTGAAGTGATTTGGTTAGATGGAATACATCTCAAGGAAAAAAGCTGGTCTAAACAACTCACAAATCCTGTGAAATGTAACACTCCAATAAAACCATTGCAGGCCTGTGTTATTAGTACACGTTTTTAAAACATTGATAGTATGAATATTATTAATATGGGTCTGGTAAATAAATGAATATATGCCATATATATATATATATATTAATTGTTGATAATGGTTGTGTGTCTTTGGTATCTGTTCCTACATGATTCTTGAATTTTCAAATGTCAGTGGTACAAATTAAAGAATTCTTGATTATTCCAGATAACAAATTTTATAATGTCTCAGAGTCATACTTAACACTTAGACTTCTCTATTACTCTCAGTGGAATTCTTTGATGATTTACTCATATTCAAAGATATATACTTTTTTTTCAACTTAAAAAAAAAGAAACTTGTTATTTTTATTGCTGCTAAAATATTGTAAATACAAAGAATAATAATTCTATGTCACATTTTACTGTGGACCTATTAAAAATTACATTTTTTCAGTATCATACTCACAGTTTGAAGAAGTTTTGCTGGGCCTTGTACCTCACTTAAAGGCTCAAGCTTATTTGATTTTTTTGGAGAAAATTGATCTTTCTTGTTGGAAGGTCCAATGGTAAGTTCCTGGTCTTCAAAGTTTCGAATTTTTTCTAAAAGTTCTCTAATCAACAAACGTAAAGGCATATTGTTTAATGTTTGCTAAGAGTTCCTTAAAAAGCACAAGTGATGAAGCATACTGTTTAATGTTTACTAAGATTTCCTTAATAAGCACAAGTAATGAAGCATACTGTTTAATGTTTACTAAGATTTCCTTAATAAGCACAAGTGATGAAGCATACTGTTTAATGTTTACTAAGATTTCCTTAATAAGCACAAGTAATGAGGCATACAGTTTAATTTTCAATCTTCATTTCAAAAATCTCTATTTAACCTAAGTTATAATATATGAGCTACAGATAAACTAAATGCAAGATTAAAAGTAAGCTAAGTATTAACATTAGACCAAATTACAAACAGAATTATTTCAGAAGAATGAAATAAGCCTTGCTTCAGATTAGTAATCAACTAGGATATGCTGAGCTATTCTGATGAAAATCAAACCAGCTAGAAAACAGAACACTTAAAAACACCATTTCGATTTTCAATACCTCACTACTATAAAGGCTTGGTGTGGTATTTGAAAATGGTAAAGTGGAGAATTATGGGTAAGTAACACATGTTCTGCAATGACTGAATTTAATCACATTTTGTTCAACTTCAATAAGGAAATGTTTTCAGTATTTTGGAGGTAAGTACTTGTTTGAAATGTAATTTAGCAACAAGTATGCAAGTAAACTAGAAAGATTTCATGAAGCTTTGTAGGTATGGGAGGGGGTCAAGGTAAAATTGATATTAGAGGTACAGAAAAAGTAATGTGGACATCTGGGGTCTGGACACACTACTTTATCAGTATAAACAGATATAATTATCGTATACCTCATGATATGATTGGCCAAGAAATAATAACCTAAAAAATGATCTTGAATGGATAATAATCAAAGGAAAAAATGTGTTTGAATGATTACATGAGAAGTATCTATCCTGGGCATTCTAGCTCCTTTGATTATCCAAGAGACAGATGTGAAAAAAGAGGAGAGTAGTGGCCTACCATAGTCTAATACTGCTATCCTTCTTGTCACAGCCTATACCTCATGTCACTGCTGTGTTGTTCCTTGCTATCATCTCCATAGAATTCTAGCCCTTCTCTATCTAAGAAACAAAGCAGTGCTACTCTTATCCTGCATACTCTTCCTACTACATGTTGTGATGACCTTTTGCTTATAATACTGTGATGCTGCTCCTTGCTTTCATCACCGAGTCATTCTTTGTGGGATGAGGTTCAACATTACTGCTCCATATTTCTACAGTAACTAACAAAAGGCTGAAAGAAAAAGTGCTGCCAATTGTTGATTTTTCTCTTAACTTTGTATTTTGTCTATAATAAATATATAGGTACACACTAGTCCTTGTCTGTGAACACTTATGGTGTGTCGATCTATTTGAGTTGTGCAGCTCTGTTCTTTGATGATGACTCCCCAGACCTAGTGGGACAGTTTTTTTGCACATCAGTTCTATCTTGGTAGCAATGCCATCATGATAACAATCACATTGACTAAATTTTAAGCATATATTTTACATGCAGCTGCATGTATGCCTCAACCACCTCTGTTGACAAAACTGTTACAAATTGCAGAAAAAATCCAGATATAGTAAAGTATCATTTGGTGCATTCAGAATCACTTATGATAAATACCAGAAAATGATGCGAGTTGCTCAACCCCAAATATTTTCTATTTGACTCGTGTACTGGTATTAAAACCAAAATTTTTTTTTAATTTTGCAGAATCCATAAAAAAGTAATTCATATTACAATGTTTAAATACTTAATTCTATGTACAGAAAATATCATAAGCTTTTATTTAGAAATAACATCGATCAATATGTTGATTTGTTGTTGTTCATACATGCATATGGTAATTCTTGGTCCCAAACTTACAAAAGTGGAATATATATATATATATATAAATATATAAAAGATATACATATTTCTTGTATTGAAACCTTGGTTCAGTCAGTGAAAAGTGTTGAATGTCCTGCAATGCATAAAAGACATTTGGAAAGTTTGAGTCACATTTTGTTGACAGCACAAGTTCAAACACAACAGGGATAGGTTTTTCAGAGGTAAATCTACCTGATTTGAAATTTCTGTTTCAGATATTTTCATTCCATTATAATCATCACATAACCAAAACAAAAAAACAAAAAAAATAAAAGTATAAAAATGGTAGTTAAATATCAACACAATACAGATTATACTCTATTAAAAAGTTTAATCTAATTGTACCTAAGACTTGGTTTACAACAGTATCTTGATTAGAAAGCAGTGCCTACAGTTGCCTACAATACCTATTGCATGCAAAAAGCATGACCACTAACACAACATTTAAAGGTCTTTGAAGATCCATGAAGCCTAAAGGTATATGAAATAAAAAGGTCAAGCACCTTGCAAAGATTTTGATGTATGAAAGTTGGAGCTTAGCTTTTTATCTTGTATTTACTGACATTAAATTGTGGTCCCTCTGCTTAATATATGGATAGTGTCTTACAAAAATTCCAGTGGACCCCTATACTATTATCCCTGTATAAACACACACTGGCTAGAAAAATGTTTTTCTGAGTTATTAAAGAATGCTAAAGAAACAAGCCTATGAATTTTCAGAAAATCAAAAAAATTAACATTAACAGGTAAACTAATGAGAATTTTCAAGAAACACAGAAAAGAAATGCTCATCTCATTAGAATAAATAGTTTTTGATAGTATTATTAAAAAATAGTTAGTGGAATAAAAGACATGAAACTTTGACAGGGGTAGAAAAATACCAAATCTTTTATCTACATAAAGCAGAAGTGTCATTTGTGAGTCTGCCCCTCAAACCTACATATTGGACTCCTCATGGAGTGTCTTGAGGGGGGGGGGGATAGGCATTTGTTTAGATTTGACACCCCTTGAGACTCTCCAGGGGGTCACTTTCTATCTATGTGTTAGCCTTTCACATCTATAGTTTTTGGCTAATTTTAACCAAACTTGACCCACACCTTTAAGGCCCCTGGGGAGTATCATAGGCAAGATGGCATTTACATCCAACTACTTTTTCATGTCCACAGTTTTTCACCTATCTCAACCAAATTTGGCATGCACCCTTGGGTCCCAATGCCTTCCTCGTGCTAATATGCAAAATAAGTTGAAAAGTTGTGGCTACCTTCTTTACAAAACCTGCTATTTGGTATACAGGTACGCAGATGTGCTGCAGCTCTATGTATCCACAATAAACAGCAAATTCAGGAAATATTGAAATTGAACACAGACAGGAAAGGAACACTAAAATGTGAAAGTGTCTAACAAAATATACACCTGGAAAAAAGTTAAGCACCCCCGTGTTTTTTTCAAGTGATTCAGATTCGACGTTCTTGTGACT